CTTTCTCCAAATCTCTTGGGGGAAAGTGGTTGCTACCACCTTCCTTCCTGGCCTATTTTCAAGGGAAGACATTGAGGGATGCTTATAGAGAGATGTTGAGTTCATCCCACGCCTTTGCATGAATAAAATGTGTACACAACTTATTTCTCCTACCCTCTTGGACACTTAAAATGTTTTTATTAACCATTTTGGAAAGGAATCTTCTCGAATACTTAAAATAGTCCTATCTCTTATTAAGCAAACCACACCAGGCCAGTGTAACATTTTCTCAATGGTCGAGGGTCATCATTTGGAAACCCATGATGATGGATAATGGTCTTCTTGGTATGGGGGCATGTTGAGCACAGGGTGCAGGGAAGAGAGACATCGTGTTTGCGAGACCCACGTGGGCCTGGTCACCATGATCTCGGGATTTGTGTCATTTCGCCATCATCTCTCATGTCAGCTCTTGGGCAGTTCCGCTTTTCTTTCTGGTTCTGCCCGGGGAATAGCCAGCTGCTGTCTCCGGGGAGGGTGTTAATCTGCTGTAGGCAGGAAAGTAATTGAACTATACTCATCTGTTCTGCCCATGAACACGAAGAGACTTTGAAAGAGCATCCAGTTTCTCCTACTGCTAACATGTTTGCATTTTGTAGATATTTTAGGGCTATTTGCGCATTCTTAGACACAATTTATGATTGCTTCCTTTTCCCCATAAATATATTTCCTGTGGTTGGGGTTTTCTGAAACAGTGCCACTCTAAACGAAATCCTCACTCTGTGCTTAACGGGAAAGTGATAAGGAGACATATGGGAAGAGCCTCACAGGCTGGTCTGGCCTCTCCCCATAACTATGTTCCAGAAAGTGGTCCCCTGCACTATAATGAGCTTGCATCACAGTGCACTGGGCCGGGTGGGATCACACACAACGCTCCATGCAAGAAAGCGGATGTCCCCCGCACTGCCCCAGGCACAAATATTCAGTGCACCTGTCCACTTCCCCCTTGGTCAGGGTGGGAGTTTTCCCTTTCAGCTGCCCTTCTACACACCAGATGTCCAAGTTCCATGCCTCCTGTCCTGTGCAGAGGTTTTCTGTAGCCTTCAAGCCCTTGACAAAGGATGGTGCAAAGTTGCAGGCAGGAGTATCAAATAAGAGGGAGTGGTCCACTCTACTGCCTGCTCCCCCTAGAGCCTCCCCCTTGGAGGATGCCCTTGGAGAGGGACACCGTGTCTCCCTTTGGCCCCTCCAAATGGCATGCACATTCAGCCCCCTGTCTGGGTAGGGCCCCTCAGTTGGTGACTATCTGGACCAGCGAATGGGGCTGGTGAACTCCCAGGGCTTTAGTCCCTTCCCCTCAGTGGGGTGAGGAATTGGAATACATTGAGAAGGTCCCCATCTGTTGTCCCAGGATCATAGCTCAGTGGAGCCTTCTCGCAGGCCCTGATCTCTCAGAGAAGGAGGGGCTCCATTCCCTGTGTTTGCCTCATTCTCCCAGATGGCATGGGTCAGCCTCTCCTGGAACCTTCCTCACCACCCTCACCTCTGCGGTGGCAGCACTGGGTTGGCGCTGGGCTTTCTACAGCCGGTGAGCATCAAGCTGGAGCTCACCTATAGCTTTACCCTGCTTTTATGGTTCAAGGGAAACATTCCCCCCATTTCCTCTTCTGTGCTCCGTCTTCTGACACAGAGATTGTAAAAATGGTGAAGCCACTTGGGATGACAATGTGGCAGTTTGTCAGAACGTGAAACGTAGAATTTCCGTGTGACACAGCGGTTTCTCTAGTAGAGATCTACCTGGGAAAAGTGAAACCATAGGTCTAAGCAAGGACCTTCATGCAAATCTTGGTAGCAGCATTATTCATAATATCCCAAAAGTGGAAACAACTCCAATGTGCGTCAATTGTGAATGAATAAATGAAATGTGTTAATCCTGTGCAATGCAGTATTATTCAGCAACAAAAAAGAAGCAGCTCTGATAAGGGCTTGGCACTAGCGTTGTTGCCACTACTGCCTCAGGTCAATAATCTCACTGTCTGTGGGTTCTGAGTTCTCACGATCAGGCTCTGTGCTGACAGCTTAGAGCCTGGAGCTTGCTTCAGATTCTGTGTCTCTCTCTCTCTCTGCCCCTCCCTGTCTCTCTCTCTCTCTCAAAGATAAATAAATACTTTTTAAAAATGTATAAAAATTTTTTTTAAAAAAGGGAAAATGCTGATACATGCTACACTATGGCTTAACCTGGAAAACATTCTCAGTGGGGGAAAAAAGGCAAAAATTAGACACAAAAGAATACCTACTATGGGATCCCATTTGTAGGAAATGTCCAGAAAAGGCAAATCTAGAAGGACAGAATATTGATTACTGTTTGCCTGGGATGGGGAGTAGGAAAGGACTATAAATGGACAGGGGAATCCTTTTGGGATAATGTAAATGCTCTAAACATTGATATGGTTGGGGCGCCTGGGTTGCTCAGTCAGCTAAGTATCTGACTCTTGATTTGGGCTCAGGTCGCAATCTCACAGTTCATGAGATAGAGCCCCACATCAGGCTCTGTGCTGTCAGCTTGGGATTCTCTTCTCCCTCTCTCTCTGCCATCCTCTGCTCTCTGTCTCTCTCTCCCTGTCTCTCTCAAAAATAAACTTACTAATTTTAGTAAGTAAGTTTTTTCCTTTAAAAAAAATAAAACCAAATTTGATGTGGTGGTAACTATACAACTGTTTGTACTTCTGTTGGGTTGTAATAGTGTGTGTGTGTGTGTGTGTGTGTGTGTGTGTGTGTTGGATAATACAAATATATGTGTATGAACCCCCCCAAAAAAACTCATGCCTACATGAACCTCAGAATGTGAATTTGTGTGGAAATAAGGTCTTTGCAGATATAATTAGTTAAGATGAAGTCATACTGTGTGAGGGTGGGTCCTAAATCCAATGACTGATATCCTTATAAGAAATCCACATGAAGACACGGGGAAACCCTTAAGGAAGAACATGACGTGAGTGTGGGCGGAGATGGGAGAGTTGTGGCCACAAGCCAAGGATCGTGGGGGCCAGCGGAAGCTGGAAGAGGCAGGGAATAATTCTTCCCTAGAAGTTCGGAGGGTGCATGGCCCTGCCTTCACCTTGATTTTGGACTGGCCTCCAAAACTGTGAGAGAACAGATTTCTGTTGTTGGAAGCCACCCAGCTCGTGGTGATTTGTTTCAGCTCTCCTAGAAAACTACTACAATGGACAAACCCTTTCCCCTGTGCACTTAGGTGAATATTATGGCATGTAAATAAGACCTCAAAACTGTTGGTAAAGATTAAATTTTTTTCTTGAAGCGGCTAGAGGAAGTGAGTGATCGGGACTGAAGGCTGGGGCCCATGCGCCAGTCTGGCTTTCCCTCAGTTGTGCTGGAAGGGGGATCTCACCACCAGCGAGGATAAAAATGCGGGGCCCACGGTGTTTCTTCCCTTCAGTTAGTCTGTCCACTCCACACCTCCTAATCTCTGCCACATACCTGCTGACTGTAGAGAAACTTCAAAGTGTGGGTTCTCCTGCGGGCACCCAGGCTACGGAGCCGGTAGGTTTCTTACTCGTTGTGGTATGTCTCAACCCACTCTGGTACGCTGTGGGGAAGACGGGACCCAGCACGGGCCAGGAGAGATCCAATGGGCATGGATGGAGTGTGCCTCCCCCTGGGGTGTGTTTGTGTTTCTTTCGCTAGGATCTTCGGGCCCACGGCCCAAGTAGGAACACCAGCGTGTTGCCCCTTTAGCATGAATTTAACCCCGAACCCACATAGAGGCAGACCAGCTGTGGGTTTTCAGGGGAGGCTTCTTTTTTTCTCTTCATCCGTAACACAAGCCAAGGCTGTTTGCTTTTCCCTCCCCCCTGTGTGGGTCTGGTTGTCCTTGTTGCAGGTCCTCGCTCTGAAGGTAGGGCCCTTTGAGCAGCCTGGTTTGAAGGTCCCACTTTCAACTCCCTGCCTCCAACATCATAATACCTCTGGCCTTTCAACAGCCACTTCTGCTTCAGGCTCCTGGGATTTCTCTCACTTTCTTAGAAGCTGCGTACGCATTTAAAAGGATGCTTGTTTTGTGCCGCCCTGCATCTCTAAGTGGTGTGTGGAGTGGGAGCAGAGTCCTATGTCATGGCCAAGAATGGAGGTCTTTAGATGAATTTTGAGGTGGGAGACAGGGAACTTGAGAAGTTGCACAAAGAGAGGTTTCTGTTTTCTTGGTGCGCTGGGGATGAGATGGCCTGCCATATGTTACGGGAGAAGGGTGGGGCTGGGGTCTCCAGGTGACGGTGACAGTTTGTAACAACGGTGGGTATATCTAGAAGTCACTTCGAGGATGGGTCAGCAGCGATCAGGGCCCCAGCCTCAGTTGCTCGATAAGGTTTCAGAGTTCCACAGTTGAAAATCAGAGTTAGAAACTGTCATTTGCTACTGGAAGCCCCCTCTCCCATCTATTCAGCAAGTAAAATTGTTTTCCTATGTGTCCTCGGGGACACAGGCTATATTCCGTGACCGACGTGTGCCCTCGGTGGGCCGGGAAGAGAGCAGCGCCCCCTGAATATGAAATCCCATGGCAACTTCTGAATGAATGAGCTTAGGGCTCATTTCGTCAGGTTTCACTTTTCTGCCACCTTGGCCCTTTTCTGTTCGTGATTCGTGCTCAGCGCTTTCTTGAATACATTTTATTTCAAAGAAATACCTCTTATTTAAAAATGTTTATTTATTTATTTTGAGAGAAAGAAAGCACAATGTGGGTGGGGAGGGGCAGAGAGAGAGAGAGAGAGAGAGAGAGAATCCCGAGGAGGCTCCACACTGTCAGTGCAGAGTCTGACGCAGGGCTTGAACTGACAAAACCGTGAGATCGTGAGCTGAGCCAAAACCGAGAGTTCGACACTTAACCGACTGAGCCCCCCCCAGACGCCCCTCAAGGAAACACCCCTTTAAGCCAGATTTAGCTGAGTGTTGAGGTGGGAAGTCAAGAATCCTGCTTTGCCAAATAAGTTGTGTCCTTCTTGGATTTTCAGTTCCTGCGATGATAACGTCCTATCCAAATACGACCCTAGCCACTCAGGGCCAAAAGAAGGAAATGAGCTGCGCAGCCCATGGCGAGAAGCCCATCATCGTCCGCTGGGAGAAGGAGGACCGTATCATTAACCCCGAGATGGCCCGTTACCTTGTGTCCACCAAGGAGGTGGGAGAGGAAGTGATCTCAACGCTGCAGGTAAAACACGTCAAACACAGCGGATCAGCATCTAACGTTGTCGGCAGAATAATCCTGTCCTTTCACCTAAGTGGGGGCATGCGGGTGATGAACAGCAGATAATCTTCTGGGACTACCATTTCTTCCCCACTTCTTAAGCAAGATTCCTGAGCAGCCTGCAAAAACAGTGCTTTGCTTTAAATGTTACTAAGAATAAAATTACAATGAGCATGGCAGGGAACCCAACAGTAGTAAAAACAAAAACAAAAAAAAAAAAGGTAGGAATTGAGTCT